CATATATCGTTGACTTGATTTTCTCTTTATTTATTTTGTCTTTGAGAAGCTTTAGGCAAGGGCCGGACATGTTCTAAAATCATTTTTTAATTGTTAGAGTTATTCTAGTAGTTGCATGAGGAATGCGTCTAGTAGTTACATGAGGAATATATATATATATATATATATATATATATATATATATATATATATATATATATATATATATATATATATATATATATATATATATATATATATATATATATATATATATATATATATATATATATATATATATATATATATATATATATATAATTTTCATGGTGTTTTTTAGCACTTTACATTAGAATGTAAAAATAAAACTAAAAAAACAGAAAAATCAACGAAAATTGAAAAACAGAAAAGCAAAAATAGAAAACACTGTTTCTGAAATGATGAATCGATGATATCAGCAATTAAAGCTTGTAAAAATGGAGATTCACAGCAAGCATTTTGTAAAGTTTTTGACATTCTAAGATGTTTGTTACAAGTTTGACTTTCTTGAGTAAGGGAAATGGGAGTCAAATCTGGACATCCAACTATTTTCGAAGAAAAGAAATTAATTCATTTTGCACATAATCGTGCAGCTTTAGGAATCAGATTTGGTCGATTGTAATTTCTAAAATATGCTGAAAATTTTGCTTTAAAGCATAAAAAGCATTTAAGAATAAAACTCCAGAAAAATGGTGGCGTGGGATTTGTAAAAGGCACGAAGATTTAACTTGACGTCAACCAGAAGGTACAGCAACTATTAGATATCAGTGTATGAATATTTGTAAAGAATCAAAATATTTTTCCATTCTTAAAAATGTGTTAACGGAAAACAACCTACTTCTGAAACCGCAAACATTTGATATATGGATACAGTTTGATTATCGTCCTAGAAAAATAGTTGCTAAAAAAAGAGTTAAGTATTTACAATATTGTCAATTAGGTGACCGGGAAACAATTAGAGTAATAACTTTTGTCAATGAAATGGGTAACTCTTTTCTACCACATTTTTTTACCACATTGCCTTTGACCCAATCGCCCCAAATTGGGCAAACAAACACTGGGATTCTTACATATATTTTGGGTTTTTATAAATGTGTATGAACTTGTTTACTCTGACATATAAAAAAGCACTTGTTCTTTTACTAAAGTTAATTTTTATTATTTTTACAGAGCCTTAATTATTTCCGAACCAATCGCCTCGATTCGGGGAACTAGACCTGAAATTTTTACACATTTTTGATATTTATAAATGTTAATGAATTTGTTAACTCTGACGGTTTGAAGAAACACTATTTCTTTATCTAAAGCTAATTTTGACAGTTTTAACAAAGCTTTTATAGCTTTTGATCCAATTGCCCCAAATGAGGCAAACGAGCAGTGGAGTCCTCACCTTGGGGACCCTAATATGAGAATAATAATTTGTAGAATTGAGTACTTTGATTCTTTAGTAAAAAAGAAAACAATAAAAATAATTTAGCATAAGTACTTCAATGAAACTCCTTCTCATCGATAGCATTTGAAAAATAAATTTATCAAAATTTGGTGTCATAAATCCTTAAAGAATACTTAACAAATCTTGACGCAAAATAGGCGTTATTGAGCCCAATATAAATTGTCATAACTTCGGAACCAGTGATCCAAATTTTAAAAACAAACTCATTCTAAAAACATCTTTATTATCCGCATACTTTGGTATTAATTATAACAAGAGATAATGATAATATTGAAATCGTGTGAAATGCCTAATATGAGTATTAGGGATGTGCCTTTTTGGTAAATTTTTGATATCTCCAGTTTCCAATATAAAATGCAGATGAAATTTGGTTTGAAAGTCATTGGTTTTATTTAATTTTTGAAAAAGGTCACCCACCATGGCCCTTGATTACACACTGGCTCCTATATATCAGTGAATTTTTTTTTTCTTTGAAAGTAAATTAACCTGGGTCTCAAAAAAACCAGAATTTTTTAGTGATTTTAAAAGTCATAATCTTTTCTACTGAAACATTAAAAAAAATATTGCAAATAAAATGTTACAATAAAAGACCATTTCAATTTTTAGTTTAAATTTGTTGTTTTTTTGTATATAAAATTTAGGCAAATTATTTTTATTTTAAACTATTATTATTTCTGAAATCTCTATGAAATTCTGGTTTTATTAAAACCGATGTTGATATACTTTTGACGGAAAAAAAAATTCACTGATATATGGGAGCCAATGTGTAATCAAGGGTCATAATGGGTGACCTTTTTCAAAAATAAAATAAAACAAATAACTTTTCAGTTACTTTCAAACCAAAGTTCATCTGTTTTTTTATTGGAAACTGGAAGTACCAAAAAGTCACATCCCTAATGAGTTTGCTCTAATCACCCAGTTTTTTCATTAATTTACCTTATTTAAAATCGTAGTGGTTTTAATTAATTAAAAGCAAAACATAGTGAAATATTTTTTTTATTTTACTGTAATTTAAATTCAGAATATTTGAACTTTTATCGGTCAAAGGTTTGAGTTAATAAAATAAAAAAAATAGCGAGTTAAATATAAATAATACAAATTCAATGTTTTCTTTTAATAAAAAATAATTTCATCTTTTAACAATAAGTTTTGCTCATAACAAATCATTATAGTATAAAAATAAATTCTAATTGTAAAGTTGGTATTTTTTTTACTTAATTTATGTTATTCTTTTTGAGCTAATTTAAAGTGCTCATATTACCAAGTGGTCTGAGTAGTATAAGTAATTTGGCTATTTTTTTAAAACCTCTGTGTTTTTAAGAGGAAATTTTCGGTGCCCGAATAAAATACCTCGGGTGCCCGAGGGTGCCCGAATATTTAAGTGGATCATGAGAAGTGATCCCTAAAAATTGATTATTCGCTAAAATTTTGGATCCAGCATATTTTTGAAAATATTCCAATTTTCGCTGAAGGTACTCATATCACTCTTATCTACACTGAATATTAAAAAAAAAAAAAAATGAAAATAATAATAATTAAAAAAAATTAAAAAATTAAAAAATGAATAACTAAATAAAAACTAAATAAAAAATTAAAATATATATATACATATATATATATATATATATATATATATATATATATATATATATATATATATATATATATATATATATATATATATATATATATATATATATATATATATATATATATATATACATATACATATATATATACATATATATATATATATATATATATATATATATATACATTTATTGATAAATGTTGTATACTGCTGGAAATACAACTCTTGTCTGTTTAAGAGTGATCAATATCTTTTTTTAAAAAATAGATCAAATTATAATAAAATAATTTAAATAAAAAAAATACAACTTTATGATGGAACTAATAGTTTCATGCCATTCGGCAATCATCAGCCATATTATTCATGTAAAAAATAAAAACCGTTATAAAAAATACAAATTTAGCGTTGCAACGGCATCTGACGTCAATTGTACGTGATCCGATATTTGCTAATCGCCGGAATCAAAGTTAGATGGTAAAAATTTTTTCCTATGCCTCCAAGCAAAAACCAATTCACTTTTTTTGTTAAGTAGTATTCGGCTATCAAAAGTCATAATAAAATACTTTTCATAGATGCAAAGGTTACACTTTTTTTTTTTTTTATATACATATATATATATATATATATATATATATATATATATATATATATATATATATATATATATATATATATATATATATATATATATATATATATATATATATATATATATATATATATATATATATGTATATATATATATATATATATATATATATATATATATATATATATATATATATATATATATATATATATGTATATATATTTTAAGTATCTACATTTTATTTGGCGCCCCTTGGATATCTGCCGCCCAGGACAAACTGTCCCGAGCAGCAGATATCCAAGATAACCCCTCTTTCGGCGGCCTGGTAAGGGCTAACCGGACAAAGGTGATGATCAGATAAATGATCAGAGAATTATTATTATTATATTCTTAACCACCTACTATAAATATTTTTACAAGGTAAAAGGTTACAAGGTAAAAGTGCACACACACAAAAAAAGTTTAAACTTTGAAAAGAAGAAAAGAAATCATTTTGGAATGTTTTCTTCTAGAGTTTGCCTGAAAATGTTTCTCTGTTATTTTATGTTCCACCAATCTAATGAGTATTTTAATTCTTTTGGGATTTTATCCCCCACCACCACAAAACGTATTTTATTTTTTTCATTCTTTAATTTTTCAAAACTTAGTCGACTAATATGACACACCTGCTGGACATCATCTACAAAAGGTTGTTTTACCGTCGGATTATTAAGCTGAGATTGAATAATATCATCAGAATTGAAAAGGTCTGATCATTTGTCTGATCAGACAAAATCCGACGGTAAAACAACCTTTTGTAGATGATGTCCAGCAGGTGTGTCATATTAGTGGACTAAGTTTTGAAAAATTAAAGAATGAAAAAAATAGAATACGTTTTTTGGTGGCGGGGGATAAAATCCCAAAAGATATTGAGCAAGAATTAAAATATCGACCAATTCGTCTGGTCAGCTGACCAGACGAATTGGTCAGACCGGGCAAAAGACTTTCCGACATCCTCGATTTAATTTTAAAGTATTTGGTAAATTTGGCGGCTTTTAAAATAGTTTAAAATATAATTTAAAAGGCTTTACTATATTTACCGTATTGATTCTGTTAGCATAAAATATAAAAAAAGTAAACATGCTTTAAGAAAAATTACAAGCTTAAAATAAAGTTTACTCATGAAATACGCCTATATTTATTTTGGAAATCTTCATATTATTGTTTTTGTTATTGTAATATTATTGTTTGTAATATTATTGTTTTCAAGCTATGTAAAATAGTTTTTTGGTAATCACTTATTGTTATATTTAGTTTTACAATGTATTTATAAATCTTGTAGAATATATATGATGAATTATTAAATAAAAAATGTACTACCAATTGAAAGTGTATTTAATAATCAATTAATAATGCACTATTCATTACATTCATTTTTTAAAAAGAAATTTGGTACTTTAACCATTTAGTAAAGCCAAATTCTTCTCATTCAAAAATATGGTTGGTTGAAGTAAATTATTGGTAAGATTTCTGTTAGATTTTTTGTTGTTTATAGCCTTATTTTTGGAATAATTTTTGTTTTAAAGTTTGGTTTATAATTTTTGCAATCTGTTGAAAAAAACTACCACGATCTTCTTGAATCCTTGCCCTAACCATGGTTCAAATACACATCTGAAAAGATGTTTACTCATAAGAAGTAGCAGTGACTAAAAAGATCTAATGTATTCCAATGATGCAATGAATGGCCAGTTAAACTTTAGTATTGTCAGTGAAATTTAGAGAGGTGAAAATATATATGTGGTGTATTATGAGTTTAAGTGTTGTTGAGGGGGAAGAAAGAGGAAAAAAGAAGTGAGAATATACTTGATTACTCAAAAAACTTCAATAAATTTTAAAAGTAATGGCTTTATTTAATTATGACATTACACAATGAGTAAAGTTTTTCTTTACTTATAACCTCCAATAAACCATGAATATAAAATCATTTATAACAAAGCATTTTTGTACTTTGGTTATGAATTGTTAAAAAGCGGTTTTAAAACGTAAAAAGCACTAAAATATTATTATTTTAGTCCTTTCACAAACAATAGATAAATTTTCTTTATTTAAGTCTATTTTTGAATAATGTAAAAAAAGTCTAAGATTAAAGCTCACATTTAGTTTTTAAGAATAAGAGTACAACTGCAAAATAATTTATCTATTTTACTAAAATGGTGTTTATTGGAAAATGTAACAACTTTATATTTAGGTTTTTTGTTCTATTAAGTACATTCTCACATAATATTATAAACAGCTGTTATTAGCAAGCATACTTTTTTTTTTAACTTGTTACAATCAGCCAATTTCTTAAAAGCTGTTTATGGATTATCTGAAATCAGCCTATTTTACTAAAAAGCCAGTCACATTTTGATTTATTAATCAGCTCAGAGGTCTAATTATGGAAATTTGTTTAAATCTTAAGTGCAGAGCCATGGACATTAGAAAATCTTTTTTTAAACAACATTACATCACGAAAAACAACAATTCTATACATTCTATTATCTAATTAAATGCTTTAGTAAACTTGACTAAGAAAAGTAAATTTTTAGGAATAAATTGATGTTATTTATAAATATTATTGTATAAAAAACCTTTTTATTATTTTAAAAAAAGTGTCATTTTTTTTTGTAGTTTTTGTATTATTTTTTTGAAATCTTAAGTATATATTTATTTTCATCTACTAAGTTATCAATAAATAAAAAAATTGATAAATTTACAAATTGTCTCATAGTTCTAGGAAAAGTCTAAAGTATAAGCAAATTATCACAGGTGTTTGCATCCTAAAGGAATTGGTTAACTTAATAGACAAAACTAGATTTGACATTCATATTCAAAGAGCTATATATAAAAGGTTGTTTAGTATCAATCCTTGAAAGTAGTGATAGACTATAAGACTATAAGCAAGAAACTCGAGCGTACAGTATGCTTTCAATAATTCGTCATTATGTCAATATGCTTTCAATAATTCGTCATTATGTTAAAGTTACACTTAGGAGTATTTACTATGCATTATTCTCATCTCATCTTAGCTATTGTTGTCAAGTTGCTATCGTCTCAGCATCAATCCATCAGATTAATAAACTTCCAACCAATTAAATCAGATACATCAAAGTCCTTCAAAAAACGTTTCATTCTAACATTTCCAGTGCTAGTAAAGTATGCCAATCTTTTTTTTGTTTTTGACTCCTTAAATAAAGATATACCATCTCATATCATAAACTTGTTCACAGAAAGTAGACTATTACATTCCTACTCGACTAGAAATATACACAATGGAAAACTAAATATACCATCTTTTAAAACCCAGAAGTATGGTAAATGTTCTATTGTTTATCAGTGCGTTTGTGAGCCTTGCATGCATTTTGAATGAGTCCAAAAAAATATATCCTAAAATACCTTTACTCCATCTTAAAAAATATCAATTTAAAAAAATTCTAAAAAACTTTTTATTCTAACTTTTTGGCATTATTATCCTTATGATTTAAATATTACTTTAACTTTCTTTTTGTAATAACTACAATTATCATCAGGACTTTTTGTTTTTATCATTTTTTTTACTAGTAAAATCTGCAAATTGATTTTTACATGTTTGTTTTGATGTATATTTTATGTACTTTGGTTTGTGTGTTTACAGTCCATGTGTTTCAGTGTGTGTCTTTGCTTATTATTATTTATATTATATTAAAAATTGGTGTCACTCCTTCGATCAGATTTCTGTATGAGTGACACCATCCTAATAAATCATTAACTTATTATTATATTAATATTAGTTATTATTATTTTTTCATTGTAATTATTGTAAACTTACTTATTATTACTATTACTATAATTTGTATAATTATTTTTTGTATCTTATGTTATTATTATATATTTTTGCTATTATTACTATTATTATTATCATTATTATCAAAACTATTGTAAAATGATTTACGGAAAATAAATAGCTTGTTGTTGTTGTTGTTGTTGTTGTTGTTGTTGTTGTTGTTGTTGTTGTTGTTGTTGTTGTTGTTGTTGTATGCAAGCTTAAGTTTAAACAAAAAATTGTCATGTATAAAATGTAATTGCAAATATTCATTTAAAATAAAATTTCAAATATATATTTAAAATAAAATTTCAATAATTGATTCTCTGCCCAAAATAATTATTACAATTTGTGCTCATAATATTCAATGCACCATTTTGTATATTATCAAGTAGTTCCTTTTCAGTTCTAGAGGAACATCTTCTGATAAATTGTTCAGAAACCATTTTCAGAAACCATTCAGAATACATTTTCAATAGGATTTAAAAAGGGAGAATATGAAAACAAAAACATCAAAGAATGTCCAGCATGTACTATTTCATCTTGAACAAATGGCAGTGTTATAAAAACATTGTCTAAAATTAATATAGTTCCAACAATTTTGTTAACAGCTAATTGTTCTAATACTAGACAAATAAAATTTAAAAAGCTTTCTGTATTAAATACTCTTGTGCTTCATATTTCAAAATTCTATTATTGTTCATTGCACAACAAATGCAAATATTATTTGATTGTATATTGGTTACTGTTTACGTGGCCCTCTTTTCAGCTAAAGAATGCCCTCTTCTAATTTATTTGAATTACATCAATAAAGAATATTTTATTGTCATTCATAGATGATAAAATTTTCATGAATCTTTCTGCATAAATAACTCTTTTATCAATAATGTCTTCAGAATTTCTTCTTTTTGGGAACACATTTTATTGTAAACACATATTAAATTATAATTAAAACTATCAATCTTGCTATAGTAGAATGACTAACTGAAATGGGTTTTTTTTCAAAAAGTGTTTGTTTAATTTCCTTAAGAGTTATTTCAAAATTATTATCAATCCAATTTTTGTTTAGTATCTTGGATTTTTCAGTATATTTTTTTCTAGAACCAACAAAAAAGCTGTCATTTTATCAGCAAACCATTTTTATATTCTTTGATAATTGAATAGATTGTAGTTTGTTTAAATACCAGAATATTTGCAATTTCTGATAGTGAATTTCCATTCAAATAAGATTCAATTATCCTTGAACAGTTTTCATTGTTGATTGTTTGATTCGACAATGCTGTTTATAAGTATTGAATATAGTATTTTTTTACTATGAAGTCTGATTGTATTGAAGAGATAAATTTTATGGATAATAAAAATATTTTTGTTTTCTTAGATAGAAAATTATGACATTAATTTAGGTGATAAGGTCGGAAATTCTGTATCTTTGGCTCAAAGTTGACCTTAAGAAATCAAAAGTGTCATAGTCTTATAGTTGAATTATAGTTGACTTTAAGTTGAATTAGGAACTTAAATTTTAACTTTAAACTACTTGTACATTTTGATGTCATTTTTTTCTGATTTTGAATTTCAAAAAATATTTTTTTTGAAACACATTGTTTATATTTTAATTTTAATTTATTGTTTTTTAATTTATTTTTTTTTTCATTTTTTTTCAAATGATTTCTATTTTTACTCCATACTAACTTATAATACACCCTACTATACTATATACACCCTACTATACTATATTTACTCCATACTAACTTATGAGACACTCTACTATATTTTTAAAACATATTAATACTCAGTTATAGTTACTTTTTAATTTTAAACATTTTAAATAAATTAGTTTTTAAAATTTGTTTTTTTATTCTTAAATTAACTTTTTTTAGATAGAAAATGAGGTTTAAACCATTGCGATGTTTGATTTTGGCTATATTTATTTCTATATCATTGTTTGTCATCATGTTAGTAAATATAAATACAAAAACATATAAAAATGGAAAAGAAGTTTTTATTGAAGATTTTTCTAATATTAAAAAATTTCCTGGTAAGTCTTATTTCTAACCATTAGGATGTGATATCTTGATATCATTTTTTTTAATTCTGGGATGATTTTTGTTGCTCAACTTTAAAAAAAAACGTGTTCTTTTTAAATAATACCACAATTTTAAAATAGCAAGAGTAACTTTTTTATTCTATTAAGTTTTTATTGTTTTTTTATTTAAAAAAATAATTAGCCAGAAACAATTTATAGAAGTTAACATAAACTAGAATTACAACTTATCAATAATATATATATATATATATATATATATATATATATATATATATATATATATATATATATATATATATATATATATATATATATATATATATATATATATATATATTATATATGTATATATATATATATATATATATATATATATATATATATATATATATATATATATATATATATATATATATATACATATATATATATATATATATATATATATATATATATATATATATATATATATATATATATATATATATATATATATATACATATATATATATATATATATATATATATATATATATATATATATATATATATATATGTATATATATATATATATATATATATATATATATATATATATATATATATATATATATATATATATATATATATCAGGCTTTCCCAGGAAAGGCATGCGGTCGCACGCCTTGTTTGTCCACGCATAGAATAAATTTTTTTGACTAACTGACCACGTTTTATTATTATGCATTTCAAGAATTCGCGCCAAAACAAAGCTAAACGAAAATACCGCAAAAATGCAAGCAATCTTAAAGTAAATAACAGAAATCTGTTTGTGCTTTTAAATTAAAAAATTAATGTATATTATTAAAAAAAAAATTTAGCTATATTTTATTTATTTATTTATTTAAGGTGGTAGTTACTTAAGCTATGAAAAATCAAATCAATAAGAAAAGTCAAATCAAAAAGAAAAAGATTAATGTTTAAAGAAAATAAAATGACCTTATAATGTAAAATTTATAATGTAAATTTATAATGTAAAATTTATGACTTTTATCAGTCAGTAATACTTTAAAATTCACGATAGAACTATAAACAATTTTTAATATTTCGTAAATACATTTAAATGTTTGAATGTATTGATTTTAATGTTTGATTGTATTGATACGCAAGAAAACACGAAAACGATTGCTATTTATTAGTAAAATATGTTTTTTTTTTTTTTAAATGAAAGAAAATGTTATTGTCAAACGATTAAGTTGCTTATTTTGCGATCATTAATTGACATTGTGAACGAGTGTTAATATATAATAATTCACGAAGGAACTGTTTTCGTAACAATGACAACAAAAGCAATGCAATTATTTTTTTAACTTCTTTCGTAACTACAAAATTATGCAATTGAATAATTTCAACGTAATAAAAGGCAAGCATTGACTAATAAAATCAGTTTAAAATAAGTCGAGAAAGAACTTTTTTCACATTAAAATTTTGTAATGTTTAAAATCTCAAATTATATATTTAATAATTAAAACAGCAATTTATTTTCTTGTCTAAGTGTTGGGTAATAAAGTCATTGCCTTTGCATAAACCTTCGTAAAAACTAAATTAAATAAAAAAGTTTAACCAAATTTGTCTAGCGTAAATAATGAATCAGTTTTTTAATACATTGTCTGATAAAGTTCGTGAATAAATTACTTATTAATTCTTTTTATTTTTGTGAAAACTTTATGACTTATCGTCGTCTTTTCCTTGACTTAAAAGTAATGTTTTTATCATAAAGAATGTCACACAAAATTTATTATTCTGAATAGATAGATGAATAGATGATTTGCTCTTTCGCACGGAGATTTTCTTTCAACATAAATCATTTTTGAATTTAAATTACTTTAAATTTCGGCGTGGAAAATTTTTAAAAGGTGGTTAAAGCGAAAAGTTGAAAAGGGAAAAGACATTGATTCGAATTTTTTCTTCATTCTAACAAAACAAATCTTTGTTTATCAAATTTTCATGTTTAAAGTAAGGCTTAAAAACGTTAGAGCAAAAAAATTGCTGACTTTTATTTGCATTTTTATACTGTTTGAAAAAAATACTAATAAAAAAGAATTAATTATTATTATTATTAATTCTAATAATTATTAATTAATATATTATTAGTTAATTCTTTTTTCTTAGTTTTTTTTTTCAAACAATATAAAAATGCTAATAAAACCAGCAATTTTTTACTTTAACGTTTTCAAGCCTTATTTTAAACATGAAGTATAATTCGATTTATTAAACCAAGTTTTTTTGTTTCACTTTTTATTGGAAAACAATTGAAATGGAAAAATTGATGAATAAAAACATCAACTTAAAAACCATTTAAATGAAAAACTTAATTATATTTAAACTTTTATTAGTCCTTTATTCAAGAAACAATAAATTATAAAAAACGTTGTATCTAATTTTTTATAAAGTTTTTGATGATGTTTTTTGATTTATTGACAATAATGTTTTAATTTATTAATTAAAACAATTTCATTTATTTGCTTCCTTTTATTTTAAACGCATTTGATGTTATTAAACTGTATAAAACAGCAACAAAACAGCATCACAAAGTCGTTTTATATTAACACAAGCTATTTATATTTTTAAGACAATAATTAAAAATAGAAAAAGTTAATTTAATTTCTAATAAAATGTCTATTCAACCTTATCAATTTGAACCAAAAAAATATAGCAAAATTAACATAAATGTTAATTTAACTAAAAATTTTTACAATAATTATTTTTTTTATCAAGCGAAAATAAGAATAACCGTCACTTTTAAAACCATAAAAATGACTGAAATAAATTTATTTTTGTACTTAGGAAATATTTTAAATAAACTTTCATGTGTCTACATCAATATTCATTTGTTAAAAACTGACTAAAAAGAGTTTAAAATTTAACTTCTATTCATTTTTGGTCGTGGAATTGCCCTTATAACACAAATATATAAATTAAAATTATAAAAAAAAAATTTTAATATACAAATATATTTTTACAAAATGCTACAAAACTTATTCTTGTAAGTAATTATGTGTTGGTTAAAAAAAAAACGACTTTACTTTTAATTTTAATTACCAACTAATACGTTTGCAATAATGACATTTTGTCTACTTTGTTTAATTTGACGTACAAACGTTAGTTTTTTGAGGCAATAGAGTCAATAAACTTTGGACAAAGTGCATTTTTTTTTTAATCAAAGAAAAGTGTTCTTTTGAAAATTTAATTTGTTAGTATGTGTTCATTATTACATTTTAGAAAAAATAATATACATCAAACATTTTTTTTTCTGTGACCTTTCATATGAGATCATATCGTTATAGCACTTAGGGATCCCTTTAATATGATATTTAAGTAGTAAAACATCTGGTCTAGAAAACTAGCTCTTTAAACACCTAAAATCTGTAAAGAATGATCTTGAAAAAGATCTTGAGGCTGAACAGTTCTATAGAGATGTAATAGATAATAGGTTACTGGTCTATTGCATTATGCTATATGCATGGCCAAAGCGTTGTATTAAATTAAAATGTATTTACTATTGGAAACCAAGTTGATCAGAAGAAAATAAAGAAGAGATTCGTGATATTACTTTTTTTGTTGGCATCTTTTACACTCAGTGGTTTCTTAGTACAGTATTGCCAACTGCTGTCCCATATCAGGTTAAAAATAATAATTATAAATGGGAAAACAGCGTAAAAAATAATTAGTTAATTGTTTGATTGATGACTTAATCTAATATTGTTAAAATATATTGCATAGGATATGTATGCTCTGTTGCAGATGATGAGGTTTATGGATAAAAATCTTGTTGGAGCTACTTCAGTATTAAAATCATGTAACAGACATAGCTGGTACCTTGATCTCGCCTTAGTTGTCCTTTAGCAGATAAACGTTGCCAAAACAAAGAAGATAATGCCAAAGCTTTAAACATTATACTTCTTGCCCAATCAAATGTGTCCACTTAAACGTGTCGATAATGAGCTTTTTCACTTTCTAGACTTTGCACAAGATCAGCCTCCATCTTTTTGTTCTCTAGTAATTTAGCAATCTTGGCTCATCTTTGATAAGATTGTTCCCTTCACAGTTCTGGAAGTTCAACAATTTTTATTTTGAGTTTGAATCCACTATTAAATACTATGATGAGGTCAATAATTTGTCTGAGAGGGCCATTACAGGCCTTGTTTTAAAGCGTTAAGCTGCCGGCTATTTACCTACAAATTACGTACGGGTAGAGCAATTTCCATGAAGCAACTTATGATATTTTTTAACTTTTAAATTATTCTATTAGGCGGTAAGATAAAATAAGTAATTAATTTTATAAAAATCCACTTTGATGATTTTTTTAAAAAGTTTGAATGAGAATTATGTTAGATGTAAGCGCTATTTACTAATGAAAAAAATTAAAAACTGAAAAAACTTAATCTCTATTAAGTTAATTATTTTATCGAACAGAAAACAAAATTGTTTATAGTTAACATTTATAGTTTTTTTTTTAATGCAAAGTTATTAAAAATATAATAATAATAAAAGAAATATATATAATAAAAACTTTTATTTATCATTTTGAGAGGACAGTATTATTTTTGCAACTTTTGATTGCATTAAAAAAAATATACTTAAGTTATTATTAAAATATACTTAAGTTTATTATTCTTATTGCAATGATCAATTTTTTTGCTTGAAAAATGCTAATACTTTGAGCTTGAATCAAAAATCATTATAATGTAATTTAATTCTGGTAAAAAAATATGATTTAATTCAAAACTAATTTAACAAAAATATATAATTTTATTCTTATAATAAAATATGTAATTTAATTTCGATTTAAATATATAAAATTAAAGTTAATGCTTGGGTTTAACTTAACTGTTAAATTTATTTAAAGATGTTACCAAATATTGTTAAATATTTAAATTTTATTTATTCTTAAAAAAAAATTAATAGAAATTTACAGTTACATATTGATCAGGCGGAAGTTTTCTCCTCAG